TATTTACTCAGTCTGCCAGCTCTGGGGTGAATGAACAAGTCTTTATAGTTGATTTTTAGAAATCCCTTGCACCTTTTCCAATTGCTAAAGCAACTGAGAGAGTAACACATTAATAAAAAGATAATTTCAGACACTACAAAGGTAGTAGTGAGGAGAGCTAAGCTGCAACCAGTCAGGGGGCAAAGTGGTAGCAATAAATAAATACAAAACCTTATTTCTCCAATCTCCAGCTCTCCCAGCGCTACACACACGAGGTTACAGGTGTCCGGCAGAGGAACGATCTGGATTACAGGAATCTGGGACAGCAAAATAAGAATTCAGTGTCACCCACAGTGTCCCTTTGACTTTATGCTCATTGTCTAGACTGTTTCAAGTAAAATGACATGGAGCAGAACTAATTTTCAGACCATTCTCAAGAAGCACACTAAGACAAACAGCTGAATTGCCTCCTGCCTGTTTAACTAAATAAACAATCTCTATTAATATAAGAAGCAAAAAGTGTCTCTAAGGACTGTAAGGGGAAAGAGCACCAGGCAGTGGCTGAAGTGCAGCCACCATTCTGTGCATAAAGCATCAAATTCCAGTAGATAACATGTGACCATAGGAGCTACAAGCTCCTTGTATCTTGGGAACACATAAGGCAAGCAAATTCTAGAAATAAGGACCGTATTCCTACCTCTCCCAGCTGCCAGGTGCAGACCTTCCCCCAGTGGTTGGGTGCCAGAGGTTCCCACAGGGACACAGAGCTCTCGGAAGCAGTGATCACACGCAGCTCCCTGCAGCCAGCTGCTTCCCACCACACTGTGCTCACATCCACAGCACAGGAACCTGAGGAATCCTGCCCAAAACAAACCAGGGCTGGTTTTCCTCTGATAGACAAGATTATCAGTTGCATTTTTGTTAAACTTGGTCTTGCAAAGCTGCTGCTCTCCCACCTTTAGCTCTGACACAAGCTGCAAGTTCTCTTCTTCGGGGCCATCTGGCAGCACTGGAGTCAACTGTTCTGCTCCATCGTTTTTCTGCACAAACAAGTAAAGAAGGAGGATAGTTCAACTTTGAAATGACATTCAGCACCTGCAAGAACGAGGCAGAAGTGTTGTGTGCTCTCTGTCACTCTCATGCAGTCACTCTGCATGCTGTCGCTGCAGAGCTATGATCCATGCAGGACTAGCATGGAAAGAGGCCTTTCCCCTCAAGTCAGACAAGACTCTGGAAAAGGGGATTTGCCCACAAACCCCCTGGCTTAGTACCCCTGGCAAATAGCCCAGCTGGTTACCTGTTCAGGAGAAGCTCTGCAGGATCCCTGCTCTTCGCTCTCTGACTGTTGATGCTCATCCAAGGCCACAGCCTGATCAGATTTATTCTCAGTACCTCTTTCATCTGCTAAAGGCAACACTGTACCTCGTTCCTCCCCATTTGTGGCAGCCTCTGCACCACAGCTGTCCAGGAGCAGTGGGGTGGCAGGGTCCTCGTGTGTCCCATCCCCCAGGACCTGGGCAGCTCCTCTGCAGGAAGGCAGGGTCCCTTGTGAGGTGGGCACAGAAGGTGGGCATGGGAAGACCTCACTGTGCACTGAAGGTAAAACACCTGGGGTTGCACCCACGGCAGGGAAAACAGAGGAGGAAATCTGAGACTCAGGCTGGGTGGGAGCCCCAGCTAAGATAGTCCCCATGGGAGTAAACAGCAACTCATGGGTGGAAAGCTCCTTCTTGGAAGCTGGGCTTTCCACGTGAAGGAGCTTGGGCAATCCGGATTTGGAAGGTGAAACCAAATTACTTCTGACACTTTTTTCTTCTGGATTCATTTGCGCACTTGGTGTGTCCTGTGGAGCCACCCCATCCCCAGACACACCTGGAACAAAATCCTCCAAGTCATTCACAGGGCAAGATTTCAATTTCTCCAGCTTCAGTACTCCAAATTCCTCGTTTGGTAAGTGGAAGTCCCTGACGCCCAGTCTGGGGAGCAGCCACTGGGGGCTGCGGAAGGAGAAGAGGGAGCAGCGAGTGTTGGGGTCTGCAGCAGGGAGGTTGAGAGCAGCAGGACCCTCTGAGCCCGTGGGACAGCTGCGTTCTCTGCTGCTGCCACCTAAACACAAGAAAACAAGAGAGAACATCAGCAACTTGCCTTTTCAGAATCTCTCATCCAGACTGCCACTCCAATAAATTAAAAAAAAAAAAAAGCCATATCCATCTTAATACACGGAAGTGGCTCTTTTCTGGAAAGACATTACAATCTGCAGTTGCTCTGCATCAAGCCTTCAGCTTAGAGGTCATAGCCAAAGCCTGACAGAACTGAGTGCTTGCTCAGTTTGGTTTGTTGGGTTTTCTCCCAACACTTTTTACAATGTTCACAGACAGTCAGACTCTCAGGCTGTGAGAGTGTTTCACACTTGTTAGCACTAAAAGAAAATACTCATTAGTATGCACACTCAGCTGGAGGAACAGATGGACACCCATTTGCTGGAAATCAGCTCCACTGTGCACAACCTTTGCTCCAAGAGCAACAGCAGCTCAAGAAGTTCTCAGCCCTGCTCCTCTGCTGTTCAATTCCTGTCACTGGGCTGAAGCAAAAGTGTCTGGAATTGCTTAAGGAACAGGGGCACCACAATGATCTAATTCTTTAAAAAATATCTCGTTTATAAAAAAAAAAGAAATAGTTAATCCCTCTCATATTTTCCTGACTAAACACTGCAGGGTGTGAACAGCAGGGCCTGCACTGGACGTTCCCCTGCCTGGGGGAATGGGAGTTGTGGGGAGTGCTCACTGTGAGGCCGTACCTGCTGAGCCCTGCAGGGCTCTGTGTCTCTCCGAGCAGCGCAGGGAGCGGCGCAGGGGGACGCTGATCCCAGGGAGCTGCTCCACCCCTCCGGCTCCTCGCCGGCGCCTCACACTCGCCACTGGATGTTTGTCAGCCTGACACACAGGCGAGTTGGCTTCCAGATCTCCCATGCGCCTGGCAAAAGTTTCGTTCCCTGGGCTCACAGCATCGCTGCTCTGAAGCGGATTTTGAACCTGCTCTAAGGCAGTTTTACGGCATTTGCCCGGCACTTGGCTCCCTCCCTGAGGAGGATCAGAACCCACTGGCTGTGCAGCTTCAGTCACTCCTGTCTCTCCAGACTCCAATGCTGCAGCATCAGACAACTTGCTCTCATCTGAGGATGACTTTCCAAGGTTAGCATCACAGTTTTCCTTTTCACTCTGGCTCTCACTTGGCAGCAGAGCACTTGCTTCCCTGGCCGTTATGAGATCCACACTCTCTATAAGCTCCTGTGACACTGGATGCACAGGGGCTTTGCAGGCAAACCTTCTTCTTCCCTTCCGGTTCCTCTGGGATCGACTCTGCTCTTGCCTTGTGCTAATGATGCTTTTCTGAGAAATGGATCCAAGTGAAGTGCTGCTGCTGCTGCTGCTGGACACAGGAAGAGATTTCTCAGAACTACTTGAGTTTGCTGGATCCTTTTCTGCCCCAAGAAAAGGGAACGGCACGACCCCTGACTCTAAATCACCCTCAGCTCTCTCTTGGGAGGGCTGATCTGAGTTTGCATCTTTCTGCATGCACTTACTCCGCTGACCTTTCTTGCTCCTGCCCAGCTGGCTGAGGATCACAGCATCCAGGTCCACCTTCCTCTGGCAGCTGGACATGCGGCGAGTTGTCCTGACATAGTACTCGACCGGGAAGAGCAGCCCCTCCACCACTGTGCACGAGCTCAGCGCGCCCTCGGGAGCCGTCACCTCTTTGGGAGGAAAAAGCTGTCGATTCTCCGACAGTTCTTGAGCACTGCCCAGAGCATGACCTGCAGGACAGGGATTTAAGGTATCAGCACCACTTTCATTTCCCTCATGGCTTTTGCTCTCCTTGGTTACAGAGTTATTTCTGTCCTCAGGCAATACTTCATTTTCTGACATTAAATCCAGGAGCCCACATAATTCTCCCTGATCTTCATGCAAAACCTTACCATCCAGTTGTTTTATTACACTGGGGGATTCTTCTCCTCCATCACCTCTGGTGTCAAGTAAACCAGAGTCTCTGTCCTGTGAACATGGCTCACGGCTGCCAGGTATGGTCATAGCCCATGGGCACTTGAGCTGCCCGATGTCACTGCTGTCCCTGACCACATGTGGGGACAGCTCAGGCTCTCCTGCAGCAACACTGTCCTCAAACGCCTCCTGTACAACTCCGGATGCGGCATCAAATTCACAAGGAGCGAAACTGTTTCCTTCTCCCTTTGCAAGAGCTGGTCTGGATGCCCTTTCAGGATGTTCCTCAGTGTGCGAGAGGGTGCTGTGCCTGAACACTGGTGACTGAAGCTCCTCTGCACTGGCAGTTTGATTTTTCACTGTTTCATCAGTGCTGATTACATGCCCATCACGCACTGACTTCCTTTCCTTCGATTCCAGAGCCTTTGTCCGTCTCCTCAGCTTCATCATGCCTCTGGAGGTTTGGGATGTTTTCTCCTCAAGGAAAGGCCTAACAGTGCCACAGCACAGGTTTTCCTGGTTTGCCTGAACACTTTCTGCCCGTGAGCTGTCCTGCAGGCTAACATCATCAGTGGAGAATTCTGCAATGTGTTTAAATGCGACAGATGTTGCCTCCTCCATGTCAACATCAGAGCAGGTTTTAGTCTGTAACTGAGGGAGTCCACCTCTGTCAGCACTAGGAGATGCATTATCTTTAGAACCTGGGGGAAAAAATGTCACACGTGTAAAAGTACTTTCAAAACATTACTTTGTTAGGAGGGAAAGGTGGGGATCTTACAGTCGGGATCAGAGCACTGGAGACCTGGTGAGGAAGGAAGCAGAGATGTTACTGCAGAGCACGGCTCAGCCCAGGGGAAGGGCCGTGTGCAGGTGTGGGGGCAGCAGGTGTGGGGGCAGCAGGTGTGGGGGCAGCAGGTGTGGGGGCAGCAGGTGTGGGGGCAGCAGGTGTGGGGGCATCGGGCGAGGGGACACCGGGCGAGGGGACACCGGGCAAGGGGGTCGGCAGGGCTGGTCCATCCCAGCTCCGCAGGGGCACTGAGGATCCACAGTGGCTGGGCCGGGCCGGGCCGGGCCCCTGGACCCACTGCCTGGGGAGGGTAAGGGCACACGGCAGCTGACGGGGTCCCCAGGCGCTCCCTCCGCCCCATCGCGAAGCTGGGGGGCTCCCACCACGTCCCACCTGAGGGGCTCCGCTCCCGCCGCGTCCCACCCGAGGGGCTCCGCTCCCGCCGCGTCCCGCCTGAGGGGCTCCGCTCCCGCCGGCCGTGGCTCCTGGCTCGCTCGGCTCGCCGCGCCCGCTGCGGACACACAACACCCCGGCGGGGCTGGGACCGGCTCCCGGGGCCGCGGTGTGCCCCGCCGTGCCCCGGCCCGGCCCTGCCCGCTCACCCGCAGCCGGATGACGGTCTCGCTGTACTCCCGCCTCAGCAGCGCCAGCTTCTCCCGCAGCTGCAAGAGACACCACGCTGGGCTGGGCTGGGCTGAGCCAGGGACCGGGACCGGGACCGGGACCGGCCCCAGCCCCGCCGCCGGCCCCCTGGCCCCACAGCCAGCCCCGCCTGGCCCCGCACCTTCTCCCTGTCGGCGCCGCTCAGGGCCCCCGCTGCCCGCGGCTCCTCCATGGCAACAGGAGCGGCGGAGCGGGCGGAGGTGACGCGACGGAAGCGGGGCCGGGCGGGGCCGGGACCGACATGGAGCTCAGCGAGATGCTCTACAACAAGTCCGAGTACATCGAGACGGTGCGGGGGCCGGGGAGCGGGGAACTGGGGCCGGGGGGCAGAGAACTGGAGGGGCCGAGCCGGGCTCGTCGCGGTGTTACAGGGGTGGCGGGGCCCGGCAGAGCCGCCTTGACGCGCCCGTTCTCCCCGCAGGCCTCCGGCAACAAGGTGAGCCGGCAGTCCGTGCTGTGCGGCAGCCAGAACATCGTCCTCAACGGCAAGGTGAGAACAACAGCACCGTGCTTGTGCCTAGGCCTGGCCTTATGTCTGGCTCGCTCTGTGCTGCTCGGGAGCACGGCTGGTTGTTCCAGCCTCCTCCTGTGCTTTTGCTTTGTTCTCGCTTTTCTTTCGACTGAAGGAATCATCTGTATGGTAACATAGTCTTGCTGGAGTGACCAGGCCTTGGCATGAGTCTGTGTAACAACTGCTAACACGGCTAGGAATTGGATTTCACGTACGTCTCTTCCCTTCTGCAGACAATCGTTATGAATGACTGCATCATCCGCGGGGACCTGGCCAACGTGCGGGTGGGACGGCACTGCGTGGTCAAGAGCCGCAGCGTCATCAGGCCACCCTTCAAGAAGTTCAGTAAAGGGTAAGAGGCCCCTTCCTTTGGGGAGACACCTAAAAATATGTCAGCTTGACTGAGACTTCCATTCAGAGGACCCTGTTCCTTTTGCAGTAATTTGCAGAAATACATCTGTCTAAACCTGTCTCTTTCTCAAACGTTCAACTGTGCCTTGAGGGTTAGTGTTCACTTCAGGCCAATATAGAAAGGCTGGGACATATTAGAATTGCAAAGTAAATGTTTCCATTGCTCTTTGTTTAGTTACAACTGTTTTGTCTCCCTTAGCACCAAATCTTCATCTGCTAATTCATCTGGGAATGGGAGACTCCACAGGGTGATTTTGGGTCTAGCAGTGTCAGTTTGTTTATTGTGCACCAAACAAATACCTCTCCTGTCACAGGGTGGCTTTCTTCCCTCTCCACATTGGTGACCATGTGTTCATAGAAGAGGACTGTGTTGTCAACGCGGCCCAGATCGGCTCCTACGTGCACATAGGCAAGAACTGTGTCATTGTGAGTGCCATTTTGTCCTTTCTGCAAACTCCTGGGTACTGCTGAGGCTTTGGGACAACAGCTGAGAGGTGTCTGCACCAGCTGGTTGGAGCAGGCACTTACTCTGTGCTGTGCCTTCCTCCTTCTCTTCGTTCTCTGCAGGAAGCAGGGCTTTCAGGTTTGGTTTCCAAGGACAGCAGGTTCAGCTGCTGCTGGTTAGAAAATCCATCCCAGCGATGTTGTCCCTGTGGCTAAGGGGACTGCCCAGGGAAGGCAGCCTGACCACAGGGTATACAAGTGGAGTTGGGTTTCTGTGCAAATAACACCAAATAGTCAAGGTTGCTGAGGTAGAAAAGATCTTGCTGGCACTTCATGACTTGGGCCAATTAGCACGTTGACTTGTTAATGTGCAGTTACCTGTACCTGTGCTAGTTAAAAGCAAACATGGTTTTCCTCAAAAAGAAAAGTTAATTCTGTTGGGAGGAGCATTCAGTCAGGGTAAAGAATTATTCCTGTGATCCCTTATACAGAATGTGTTTTGAACAGTTAATCTTCTTGAAATTTAGCTAATGTATCAGTAATAAGCTAAAGATCTCATGTTTATAGTGTTTCAAGTATAAACTTTTCCTGTTCTCTGTTTTAGGGTCGTAGATGTGTTTTGAAAGACTGCTGCAAAATCTTGGACAACACAGTACTCCCTCCTGAAACTGTAGTCCCACCTTTCACTGTCTTCTCAGGCTGCCCGGGTATGTCCCTCTGACTTCCCTTTCACAGGAGTGTGGATAACATGGATATTCTTATTTTAAATGAAATTGCTGTAACGTAGTTGCTTATTAGCATTGAGTGCCTAGAAATAAAGATATCGGGCAGTTGCTGCCCTGAAAAGTAACAGTTTTAACTTGTGAAACTCCCTGCTTTAGAGCACAGCAGGTAGGGCATTCACGATGACTGATGTCAATACTGTTGTTCTTCTTCCAGGACTCTTCTCAGGGGAGCTCCCGGAATGCACCCAGGAACTCATGATTGACGTCACCAAGAGCTATTACCAGAAGTTCTTGCCACTCACTCAGGTCTAGTAGCCCATTTCCCATGTTTCAGGCACACAGGAGCGTTCTAGGGGTGGGGAGAGGGATGTTGTCCAGTGAGACCAGGGCCCGGCCCTCCACTCTCCTGAGCACTTGTGTGAGTGTCCCTCAACAGCACCAGCCTGGCCAAGCAGTCCCTCGTGAAAGCTGCAGTGTCCTGTTCAAACTTTGTATGCTCATCTGATGTACTCCATTCCACGTTGTCTGAACTGTGCCACTGAATGTTCTGGAGCTGGGAAAGCTGATACACCTGCCTTGGGGAATGAGGCAGAGCTGATGTGTGCTCTGCAGCCTCGGCCTGTGTGCTCAGTTCTGTCCTAGCCCAAAGCCTGGGGGTTTAGGTTTGCTAGGAGCACTCTCCACCCCAGCAGGGCTGTTTTGGGTGTGGTCCAGACACCTACCAGGGTTCCTTAGACCCAGGGCTTTCCTTTGGCAAAATATTTGCTGCTCCATGGGCCTGTGGGCTGAGATGGATGGCCTCTTCCTTTTCTCCCTGATTCTCTTCTGTAGGGACATCATTCATTATCCTGCTATTGGCTTTAGCAATTTTGCCTGACACTGACACCTGTCTTTCTGTGCCTGACAGGATGTTTCTTAGCTTTTAGCTCCTGAAGCAGACTGACCTCAGTCCTGTGCTCTCACCCCTCAGGGTTAGTGTTCTTGTGGCCAGTGCTTGTTCTACTTCTGAACATCACAGACCTTATAGGCCAAAGGCCTTTGGAAATAAGTTTGCCATGTCACTCACAGAATTCAGTGCAGCAGAAAGTGGGTAATTAAAAACAGTGGAAGAGAGAATGCTGCAGCTGTCCCCATTTATTACCCAGTGTCTATATTTCAGAGAGCTCTTTGGTGCTTTTCTGAATTATGAAGCTTAGGGATGAGACTCAGACTTATTGAAAAGAGGGAACACTTCAATTTGGACATGCAGCAAGAGCAAGAATAGTTCTTTCTGGGAGCAGCTCTGAAAGTTGGAGGCATCTGATGCTTGTGTGTCTGCCAGAGTACAGACAACTGGCTGCACATGAGTCTTCCTGCTCTGGTTGTGCTCTACTAAAGCTTAGGATCATACTGCTCTAGGTTTTAAACTGGGGGTCCTGCATGCTGTAGTGTAGCAGCTGGGGCCAGGACATTAGTTTAGGTGTGTTGTAGGTGTGTGGTTGTGGATGAGCAGCCCTGGAGCCCTCAGCTGATCTGTGCAATGCAAATGCTGATACACCTTCATAGCAAACAGCTGTACAAGTACTAATGTGTGTAGTAGCTGCTGTTCATCACATGTAAAACCACTGACTGGTTTGTTTGTATTTTTACTGTACATAAATTAAAGCCTCTCCAGTTATTCAAGTGACTCAAGGTTGTACCTCTTCAAATCAAGCTTGAGACTAGACTGAGGTTCCTGCTATGGCTGGGCATGAGCCACAGTCCCTTGTCCTGTGACTGTTACAGGCCGTTGTAGCTATCAGAGTGTCAGTGCATTAAAGAAGTGAAGTACAGAGTGATACAGCTGCTTTCTCCCTCTGAGGGGCTGGAGAGGCCTGCCCTGTCATCAGACCCAACACATTTGGGGCTTCCTGTGAGATTCTCTGCCATTGCAGTGTTCAGAGCGTGCCCTTGGGTGTCCCTGGCGGTGTCTGGCAGGAGTCTGGCGGTGTCTGTGCTGTCTTGCCATGGTGTCACCTCAAAGTTTCAACACCACATCCTGCATTTTACGGGATCGCTTGATCAGCAGCTGAAAGGCGAGAGAGGGGTGGGAGGAGGGATGTGAGTTGGGATGGAGTGGGATGGCAGCTGGAAAAGTGTGAGTGATGCATTTCCACAATCACCTGAGAGCAGAGCTGTAGAGCATGAAGGGATATGTCACTGCAGTTATGTGTTTTGTGGCGTCCTCTTCCTTCTAACAGGCTGAGCCAACCCTTCTGCCTTAACTAAAACCTCTTTTGTTGTCTCTGTTAAGGTGGCCTCTGCCCGGGCCTAAAACCAAGCTGCCACTGAAGATCCCAAACACCCAGCACTGTTAACATTCCTTACATTGACCACTTTCTCCTCCTGTCTCTGAAGCATCCCTCTGATCTGGGCTCACCTCTCCGCCTGTGCCAGCTCTGGGAAGATGGAGTGTCAGTGGCTGCCACGGCCCAGGCAGTCCCAGCTCTGCTGGCAGCATTCGGTCCAGCGCGGTGCAGTAAAACCTGACCCGCGAGGGGCTCTGCCTGTGGCCAGGGGAGCTGCAGGAGTGGGGAAGCATGTCCTGCAGGGAGGGGAATGCCTTCTTTCAGGAATCCTGTACAAACACTGAGCACTTCAACCCCCAAGTCGCTGTGTTGCTTCGTTGATCCTGCTTTGCTCCTGTGTGCTTTGCTCCGGGTTGCTCCAGCCAAGGGCAGGCCGTGCTGCCTGTGTTTCGGGTGTCCAGAGTCCCTGGGAACACACCTCCCGCTCTGTGCCAGCACCAATGGCTCAGCAGGAGGAGCTGAGGTGACCTGTGAGGGGCTGTGTGGGAAGGTCACACAGGCACCGGGCGAGTGGGGGTTGTGTCCGCTTTGTGGGGAGCAGAATCTCCCGAGGTGATCCAGCTCCACGGGGGGAATGACAGTTGAACTGGCTGTGGTGATCTGCAGGGCTCAGGGCTCAGTCCCGTGTGCTGGGCTCTCCAGGACACCCTGGGGACCAACGGCCTATGCCAGTGGGTCAGGGCCAGCTGGGGCAGTGGCTCAACTCACGGGGCCAGCCTTCTGTTCGTTGTTAGCCAGGGCTGAAAGAGAGCGGCTGCTGACGGGGAAGGAAGGCCAAAGGAGGTGAAGTCCCTGCCCTCATCCCGCTTCCAGCCAGGTGGGACTGTGTGTGCCT